CTTGTTTGTATCTAATGATCTAACAATTTGAGGCTTGTCAGCAACTCTAAACCACAGACAAGCACATTTAATGTTTTGAAACTAAAGCCAAGTGTTTTTGTGTTTTCACCTCCAAGAAGCTCTTGAAATGTTTCAACCTACATTTCACAAATTAGCTGCTCAAAAGGTCAGAATCCGACCAATTTTTTTTGGTTTGCCAAAAACCTTTAGGGACAAGTTAGGCTTTTAGGGATGGTGAGAGTTGGTGTTGTGTTTCCAGTTTCACTGCATATATGTTGCGTATAGGTATGTATGTGCATTGTGGTGATTCTTCATGAATTCCATTGCACTCACTAATCAGGACACACCAGTTAATAGGAGCTACTGGACATTATAGACTTGCCTGTGTATTTCAATGGAAAAAGAAAACTGATTTTCTTGTTGACAGTCTGATTCCCTGAGAGACACATAGAGTACCTTTGTGCATCCAAGCATTTGCAATGAGAATCTGTCTCAATGCTCACATAATTACCAGTCATGACAACATTGCAATGGCTGCTATTGTTTACACTTTGTGAGGCTGTGTGTGTGTCATCATGGCAAAATGTGGTCCTGGTAGCACCAACTGTGAGGTACACAGTGTGTGACAGAGGAACACGGGACAGAGGAACTTTCATTACCCAGTTTTTACACAGTATGTCTGTCCAAACCCATTCTCTTTCTGAAGTTGTCAAATACCGCTGCTTGGTCAGTGATTTCCAACACAAAAAAGAAAAGCCACCCTTTCGCAGTAGTTTGATATGTTGCTGGGGTGGTGGATGGGTCCAACAAACACTGGACACTTTCCCAGGAGCTTGGTGTTTGCTTTCTGGATGAATGTTGGGCCAAACCATGATGTTTTTTTCTAAACCTAAAACGTGTGTTTGATGCCTAAATCTACCCACATGCGGTTAAGTATAGTGTTTTAACCATAGAGCAATGTCAAATCTGTTCTGCTGTACGGTTCAGAGAGTTGGCTAATGGTCAAAACAGACAGATGAGAGTGGAAGCCTCTCACAATGGATGCCCCAGACAAATATGCCAGATCTTCTGGCCAAACAAAATCTCCAACCTTCAGCTGTACAATAAAACTGGTAGCCAGAGCATCACCAAAGAATTCAAACACAGACGTTTGAGATGGCTAGGCCATGTGCTAAGAATGGAGCAGGGCCAGATCATGAGAGTTGCCTTAAGATGGACACCACCAGGCAAAAGAAAACTCAGAAGCCCCAAAACTACCTGGCGCTGAATTGTGACACTGGAGTTAATAAAGATGAACCTGTCATGGGGAGAGGCGCAACAAAACCACATTTATCATAAAAACAAACATTTGAACAAACAGCAGTGTGATCAAAAACAACCTTAAATGACAGAAGCAATCTTTGGGAGAAATTTATTTGATGTGTACTTTGAGTTTTTAGTTTGGCTCATGTTCCATCCACTAACAGGCTTTATGACCTATACTGCAGCCAGCCACCAGGGGGTGATCGAGATGTTTCGGCTCCACTTTTGGGGATCTGTCACGTCGTCCACTTCTATATACAGTCTATCGTTTAGTGCACAAGGAAATAAACGTGAATATGAAGTGTTTTACCGATATTTTAAAGGGATAGTGCACCCAAAAATGAAAATTCAGCCATTATCTACTCACCCATATGCCGAGGGAGGCTCAGGTGAAGTTTTAGAGTCCTCACAACACTTGCGGAGATCCAAAGGGAGAGGGGGTAGCAACACAACTCCACCTAATGGAGGCTTACAGCACCCCAGATTCAAACTTCCAGCGAGACCAGTGAAAGCATGTGAACACACATGAATGCGGTGCCCATGTCTCACAGTCTCACGCAGAGACAGTCAGAGCTACAGGCTACAGTGAGGCTAAAAACAGAGTTCAAATGACGTTTTCCAAACAACTTTTTATGTCGGGGCTTCAGGACACTTGGATCACTTCGTACAAGCAGTATGGCGATATTTTGTGGTTTCAATTATGTGTTTTTGGATGTTTGAATCTGGGGCGCCGTAAGCCTCCATTAGGTGGAGTTGTGTTGCTACCTCCTCTCCCCTTGGATCTCTGCAAGTGTTGCGAGGACTCTAAAACTTCACCTGAGCCTCCATTGGCATATGGGTGAGTAGATAATGGCTGAATTTTCATTTTTGGGCGCACTATCCCTTCAAGTTTGTTTTGAAAAGACTGTTTGCATCTACCGAGCAGAAACTGTACATTTCCTGTGGAAACGTAAGTGTATTTTGAAAAGATACAATGCATGTGACAAGTGTAAATTGATACGGCATCCCAGAATGTCAGCAAAAGACACACCGAGGATAGTTAGCGCGTCATATGTGTTGGGAGTGAGAACATGCTGGTCTGTCTGTGTCTTTGGATAAATCTGATCACCAAGATAGTGTCACAACAGTTCCAGATGCAGTCACCAAAATTTACAAATGTGTAGTTGAGATCAAAATGAAGGCTACGTTTGAAGATGGGTGTGGTCCAAGCATGGGGCTGGAGGTAGGGAAGGGTGCCACACATATACACACACAGACACACACTTTATGCCCCTGGCCCACATTTGTTTAAAGTTGCAGATGTATCCAGTTTGGAACACAGACTGTACAAAACAATGGACGTAGCTACAGTGATTTCGTTTGTGGACTGCCATTTTGAGGCCTTAATGATGCTGCAATCATTGGGGTTTTTTTAAGGATCGGAGTTGTGGAGGTGTGATGGTGGATCTGACCTACAGACTGCAGTGATGCCCCACAGACAGCCTATCACTCAAAGCAACCCTGCCTTTAAAGGGAAATTTCGGTTTATTTCAACCTGTCTCCTATCATCCTAAATTTGTTTCAAGTGACTAGTGACATAAAAATAATAGTTAGCATGTTAGCCATTAGCCTAGATACAGCAGGGGCGCATAGTAGCGTCAGACCTGTTAAAACGTAAGTGAACGGGCAGCCTTCAAGTGCAAAGTTAGTCCACTAAACAAGCTTTTTCTCCACAAAGACCGCCTCATATCGTTAGGATAAATGTCAGAGAACATATAGAAAATGACATGTAAACGTGTTGTCTTACCTTACCGGTGTGGTGCCTGTTTGTTTATCCCTCTAGCTCTGCTTTCCAAAGCGCGGCCAAAATTTCGCATACCCCAATGCCCACAGAAGAGGAATGCCTCTGTTGCAAGGAATGGGACCGGTTGCAGTGGTATCTAGCTGGGCTTTATCTAGAGCTTGCGAGATTTCAGACGCGCTATGAGATCGCTGCTTGTTCCCGCAATATTTCGGCCGCACTTTGGAAAGCAGAGCTAGATGGTAAACAAACATGACACCACACCGGTAAGGTAAGACAACACATTTACATGTCGTTTTCTATATGTTCTCTGACATTTATCCTAACGATATGAGGCGGTCTTTGTGGAAAAAAGCTTGTTTAGTGGACTAACTTTGCACTTGAAGGCTGCCCGTTCACTTACGTTTTAACAGGTCTGACGCTACTATGCACCCCAGCTGTACCTAGGCTAACGGCTAACATGCTAACTATTATTTTTATGTCACTTGAAACCAATTTAGGACGATAGGAGACAGGTTAAAATAAACCGAAATTTCCCTTTAAATATGTGTAATCTTGAGCCTTAATGAAACATAAACTGATGAGTTATTTAAAAATTCACCCCTATACAGTTGTTGCAAATGTTAAAATAAGCTATAAAAAACAAAACCATTTTTTATACTAGGCTATAAACATGTTTATTCTGCTGTAAAGTTGGACATTTTAACATGGAGGTCTATTGGGATTGATTGTTTTGGAGCTGCCCCAAGAGGCCATTAAAGGAACTGCAGTTTTTGGCACTCTCATGTTGACTTATCTGGCATTTTTATCCTCAGAGGTTGCCTCTTGGGCTGGAATGATCCCATCACAAGTTGGTCTTGAGTTTGATTTCTATCTACTGTATATATTAATTTTAAACCTTCATAAACTGGCACCTTTGCAGCAGCAGTATTTGTTCTCTCCCTTTTTTAGCCACTTGGGGGCAGTGGAATAAGCTGTAGGCTAAACACACTGACACCTTACAATGTTGATGTGGCTGACAAACTTTTTACACATCCAGCAGACACGGAGCAACGTTAGCATTTACTTGAAATGATGTCTCTGGCCAAGTGACAGTCTCCACCAACTGACTGAATTAGCCTGCCGTATCTGGCTCTTCAGCTGTTCCATGCTCGATAAATTCACCAGCTAGTTGTTAACGCTGTGTGTTGGACACTGCTTTTTTGTTGAAAACAGCTGCCTGGCATCTGAAAATGAAACCACAACAGTGAGCTGACAGAGTAACCATTTGACCCATTGTTTTTATTGATGCAGCATTAAAACTTCCAGCAATCTTTTCTTTTCTTCTGCATGACTGCCCTTAGGGTGACTTCAGAGGCACAGAAGATAGATATCGTGTATGGGGGCAGAGTGAAAGATAAGATGAGCCAACAAACACTGGGAATCAGATTTCAGACATGGATCACCCTGCCTGTCAAATAAGAGCTCTTGCCTATAGCAAGTGTTTTATGTGAAAACACACAGTGACAGCATCCTCTGGAGTTTTCCCTGCTGCTTATTACAAAGAATAGCACTGGAGGGAAATCTCTCAGGTAATCATGCCACGATTGTTTTATTTGCTTGAGAAATAAAACGTGAGAGCTGTTTCGGGCAACTGAGAAGATTGCTTGGGATGCTCTTAAACGCTTCAGTCCTCTGACCTTCATCACAAACCCACATGGGGAGGCGTGCTTTTATATATCATATGCACCTGGAGAGTTTACCGCCGACAAGTGGCGCCTAATGAATGCAAATCAGCAGATCATTTGATGTGCAGCAGTAACTTTCAATATGTTCTCTTCAGAGCCTGGATTTCCCTTTTTCTGCAGAGTCCCAGATACATTCCTCCTCCTCTTCCTCCTCCTCCTCCTCGTTTCTGTCTCTCACTCCCACCCCTCTGTGCGCGCTGCACCTGTGCTGCCGCTGCTGCCCGTGTGCGTCAGATGATGCCAACTGATTCATTAAACCTTCCCTTCTCTGTCGGACTGGCTGCAGACCGAGTCGACCTTTCCAAGCGGCTGCAGGTACACCAGCTTCTCCTACTCGTCTCCACCACCCACGAGTCTCATCTGCACGCTTTGTGTCGCACAACAACACCAGCACGCGAACAAACTTTTGGTGTTATTTTTACGCACAGGTTCCCATTGTGGACAATCAGTCCGTCACCACCGCCACCCGCGCGATCTTCACAACAACTTCAAGAGGGACCATGCAAGTTTATGTGGTTGTGATTTTTGCGTATGGAGTGTCAGGTAAGTTCAGAAACTTCTCTTTTTGACAGATTTACGAAGTCGTTGAAGCTTAAATTTTTTGCCTTTCAGGAGCTTTCGCGCACATCCTGCTCTACTCAGCCAGATCTGTTGGGGTTGCACACAATTTATCAGGTAATTTATTTGAATGAAAGAAGCAGCCTCGATGTTATTTGAGCGACTTTATCTGACTTTACCACTGATTTGAAGAAAAAGCGGGTGTTTACTTGGAGAGTGATTTTAGGATAGAGATACAAATATGTTTTTGTCCACCAGGATCCTTCTAAATGATATTTTTGATGTATTATTCCTTTATATTGGGTTTAAATCACCTGGAATTTGTTTCAGCGGTTTGAAAGCGATACGCCACCCACTATGCAATAACAGCCTGGATATAGTTGAATTATCTGGAAGCAGAAAAGATAAAAATCAGTGGGAGGCACCTGCAGGATGCTCATGATTCTGTCTGGATATATCCTCAGTGATAGCCTATATAAGGTATTTGTGTTTTTATCCCCTGTGTTGTGTGAGGTTCTCAGTGGTGCTGTGGGTCCTCTGATGACAGTTGGAGATTTCTTGCCCTCTACAATGCTGCATTCTCTGCCACTGTAGCAGCAAATGTGTGAGCTGTTATCAGTCACTGACCAGTTGTTCTATGTGCATCCTGCATCAGTGCAGGTTTGCAGGTCTGTGTGAAGCCTGGTGGACTAAGGGTATCCACGCACTGGATTCAAACTGACAGTTTTGTTTGCTGGGTCAGAATGTTTTACCAAGAGCCTGTCAGGTCAAATTTTGCCTCTAGCCCAGAGGAGCCTTAATCCAATGTGTGTGTGTTGCTCTCTTAAATCAAGCTTTGATATTTCAGCTGTAGTGCACAGTGGTAACCTCCATAGCAAGATAAGCTCCATGCTATAAATGCATTGGAACCTGATGTGGATGTCACACATCTTAGGTGATAATTGCATTCTTTAGTTTGGCTGTAGACCAGATTAGCTTTGTGCATTGAGGTTCATATACAGCCTCTGCACTCACAACACTGCAAGGCACTGGTCAAGACAGCGATCTGTTGCATTACTGTTTCTGATTCTAGCCAGACCCATGCACCCAAGATCTGTGGAGAAATTCAAAGTCATATCTGGCCCTGCCATATGCTACTGCCTTGTGAAAAATTGATCTAATGCAAGGGGGTCTTTTATGTTGTCACAGTCCACAGATGTTAGGCCACTCTTCAGGAGCTCAAGGAGTAATGCCCTAAAGATCTTTTGAACCCTGATTTACAGTCAGTGCCATCAGGCGCTGTTGAACCATCTCTGAGTCTCCCAGTTTCCCTCTAAGGGACAATAAAGATACTTTCAACTTTGAGCCCTCTGTGGCTAACTATCGGCTGCGGATGAATCAGGAACTGTCTGTTCCAGGGGTGTCAAACATACAGCCCGTGGACCAGAACTGGCCCCCCAAAGGGTCCAATGAGTCCCACTGGTTGACTTTGCACACCTAATATTAATGCGTTTGTGAAGACTAAAGGCTCATTTATGCTCAACGTTAGACATGTACACACATGGATGTCTTCTTTCTGTGCTCTGCGCTCATGCCATCTGAATGTGTGCACATTTTCTAAGAGCTTACAGATACAGACAAAACAGCGGTGCCACCAGAGATTGTGGAGGCAGTGTAGCATAGTTCATACCAGATACACCTGATGAAGACATTTCAAAATGTGGATGGCTGTGGCTCAGAGGTAGAACGGGTCATCTGCTAAAGTCTGCATGTTGAAGTATCCTTGGGCAAGATATTGAACTCCAAATTGCTCAGTGGCTGTTCCATCGGTGTATGAGTGTGTTAAAAACTGAGCAGCAGGTGGCCCCTTGGCTGGTAGCCTCGGCCACCAGTGTGTGAATGTGTGTGTGAATGGGTGAATGTGACTCTCGTAGTGTAAAAAGCGCTTTGAGTGGTCAAATGATTAGAAAGGTGCCAAAAATGGTTTAACAGCATGAATCGTTAATGTAGTCAAAATAATTCTCCATCCACACGGGTTGATGTATTTAATGGCCTCGCAGACCACCGCTGTGCACAACGCTGCCTCATTATAAGGTAATATTAGTTCAGCCTCCTCCACCATTTGTTGAAACTTTTGACTGTGCCTTTTAGTGCCATCTAGTGGATGTACTCATGCCAACATAAAGGACGATTGAGAGTATGTGGGTAGAGACGGTTATGTTTGAAGAGAACATATCTATTTAAATCCAAAAAGGGAGTAGAAATGAGCCTCAAGAGATGCCAAGCATCAGAAGTAAGTTAAATACTGAGTATCCTACTTTGTGTAAAATGCTGCTTCAGAGGCTTTTCCACCCTGGCCAGAATACAGCTCTCTCTAAAAACAATGGTTGTAGCCAGATTTAAAGATATTGAACATTGTGCAAAATATTATCAATCAGCAGCTTCACTACAAAAGAAACTGTATCAGATTATATCTTAAAACTGTATTGGTTGAACCCTGTCACTAAGGCACCGCCAAAACTTTTGATTTGTAAATGGTTTGTAAGGCAAGGGATAACTTGACCTGCTTCCTCAATCGCTCCCAGTTTAGTTTAGCGTGGTGCCGGCATTACTGTGCAAGGATAGAGATGTATGGAAAAATGTAATGGCAGTGAGTAGCAGACAGACTGACTGTGGAAAACTGTGACATATTGTCGAAATTATTATTTTACTTCATTACTTATTTCTCTTCATCTGTTCAAACACATCAACATTGTCAGGATGTACTTGCGCTGCTTCACTGAAAGAATGGGAACATTCTGAAGATGCTATTTATAAGCTGTTACGCAATGGTTGTACTGGTTCGGCCCACTTGAGATCAAATCAGGCTGTATGCAGATCATGAACTAAAATGAGTTTGACATCCGCGCTCCAGTTGGTCCTTATCAGCTTCTGTTTGGCTGTCAGTGGGAGTGGGCTATCCTTAGTGTGCCTTGTCGTGTGCTTTTCTTTCCTTTTCTGACAATTTCAGTAAACCTTACTGTGCCTGTTTTTTTTCCAGACGGATTATTATTTCATATTCCATGAAAGATAGATAGCGTAAAAATGTTGAATATTTATGGCTGATTTTGAGTGCGATTAAGGTCAAAAGTTCTCCCATGAGGACGATGAAGTATACTTGAATAGTCTGTCTTTCCATGGTGTTTATTATTATTATTATTATTGATATTATAATATCAATAATAATAATAATAATAAACACCATGGAAAGTCCTTTGGGTCTTCAGTTTAAAGTTGTACTTGAACATAAGAGGAAATATCTACTCAATAACTGCATTCATAATAATCAGAATATATTATGATTATTATGAATGCAGATTATGATCATAATATATTATGATTATTATGAATGCAGATAATGAGTAGATATTTCTTCTTATGTTCAAGTACAACTTTAAACTGAAGACCCAAAGGACTTTATACAATGTCTTTGTGGGTGCAGACCCAACAGTGCGGGCCTGAACATTAAGCCAGTGGCCCCGCAGCACCCGACAGCCAAATGTCAGCTAAGTGTGTCAGGGCACTTAAATAGAGCAAACATACATTTTCAAGTCCAGGTGTTCATTTGAAATTAGACTTCTTTGTCTCAGATGGACTGAACATTTCCCACTACAACTTCCCAGATCGTCAAATACAGATGCATCTCACAACTCTCAGCATCTTAGAGCACTACAGAGGAGGTTTCTGTGATGCACAAACGGCAGCCTCTAGGGGTTGAAAAAATGAAGCCATCGGGGTGCCCATTAGCTCACCAGGTAGAGCAGGTGCCCCATGTACAAAGGCTTTGTCCTTGTCGTACCAGCCACAAGTTTGATTGCAACCCATGGCCCTTTACTGCATGTCCGACTCTTTCTCACTCCGAAGTCGTCAAAATCCAGTGCTTGGGCAGTGACTTGTGGTGCCAGACACTGATGGAAAAAGCCATCCTCTAACATCGGCATGTTACTCGGCCGGTCGCCATTATAGTTAAACTACACCTACTTACATAGTGCATTTATTTTGAAAGAGACTGTATGTAAACGGTAAATTTCCTGTGAAAACAGAGGTGTATTTTGAAAGAAGACAATGCATGTAACAGGTAGAACTTGACACAGTGTCCCAGATAGGGTTGAGACACGTCCGATTCCTTACCGAGCCCTCTTACCGATTCCTACATTATATTCATTATACTTGCTATACTTAAACAAGTATATAATAAACACAAATGCAATCATAAAAATACAAAAACTTTATTCTAACTGTTACACAGTACAATTAGATGAAAATAGCCTACACATTTGTGTGTGGTGTGTATTTCAGATTTAGAGCTTGTATCATCTCCCTGAGAATATATAACAACAAAAAGTGATTCTCTGATTTCTACAGTAACACTATTAAAATTAACCACAACAATGTAATAAAAAATACTTATATGCATTCATGCTTAGGCACTGTTATTTACGTGACAACACCTGAACAAAACACACACACACTTTGGCTGTTTGTTTCTACCGCTCCCTCGCTGGAAGTCTCGGACCTCCCGCCGCCAGCCTCCGCCTTGATTAAACACTGAAAATTAAATAAAAGAGGGAGACAGGTTTTTCCTATTTTAGCTTATTTTGTTATATTTCTCCCTCTCCCCTCGCTGGAAGCGGACCTCCCGCCGCCCACTCCTGTCTCAAACATGGAGGTCTACCTCTCTGCTGAGCACCCACGGCGCACACCTGTAACCATAACAACTGTGTGACAAAAACTCAGTACTTTAGTCATTAAATACTGTCGGGCTCAGTCGGGTTCGGACAGAAATATGCGGCCCGTGCCGCACTCTAATGGAAATGCACGTGACGGGTTTTTTTTACAATCTAGGAACCGTTTGCAGGAACCGTTACTCCAAATGTGATGGAACCGGTTCCGGAACCGGAACTTTGGACCCTGTTCCAAAAAAGAACTGGATCCGGATCCCAACCCTAGTCCCAGAACATCAACAACCAACGCACCCAGGGTACCTTGCACGTCGTATCTGGACGTGGAAGGTCCCTGACCGATCATCAATATGTGACAAGGTCAGAATCTCCCAATCCCAAATGGATCCCTTACAGACTCATTGACTCAAGCCCTAA